TCTCACTGTTGTAGCCCCTCCCGTTGTGGAGCACAGGCTCCGGACGCGCAGGCTCAGTGGCTGTGGCTCACGGGCCCAGCCGCTTCGCGGGATGTGGGATCCTCCCGGACCGGGGCACGAACTCGCTTCCCCTGCATCGGCAGGCAGACTCTCAGCCACTGCGCCACCAGGGAAGCCCCATCCATTTTTGATCAAGTCCAAATTCCTTAGCGTGCTTCCCAGGCCTGAAGGACCTGCTCCTGTGTCCTCCTCTTCTCTGCTGAGCCAGTCCTCTCTCACCTGCTGACATTGCTACTCCCTCTGCCTGGAAGATCATTCTGCCTCTCCCCTCATCACAGTCCTTCCCGTACCTGCAAATCTCTTAATCATTCTTCAGGTCTCAGCCAAGCCATTGCTTCCCTTAAGAAAACTTCAATATTCCCCCAAGCCTGGTATGGGGCCCCTCCTGAATGTTCCTATAGCACCTCTACTTCTGGCTATGTTAACACCCACCACTCTATTATAATTGCTTGTTTTCTCCATTTGCCTGTAAGTTTCATAAGACCAAAGACTATGCCTGTCTTATTCACTGTGGTAGCCCCAGTTAGTAACATTAATATTAATCATCATAATGACACTGGCTAATGCTTGTTAAGTACTTAATATACGCCAGGCACCCTTCTAAGTGTTCTGATGTGTTAACTCATTTAGACCTCAGACAACCTTTCAAGGTAAGCCCTATTATTATCACGTTTTCAGGTTAGGAAACTAAAATATTGCGAGGCAAGTTAACTTGCTTGAGGTCAACATTCTAAAAAGAGTATTAATCAACAATGACAACAGCTATTTATCGTGTGCTCCCTAGTTCCTCGTGTGCTGCCGTCAGAGAAAAGATGTTCCATAAATGTTTGTAGAATTGATTTCAGGTGAGGAGATTGTACTCAAGTTGGCAGCTTGTATCTGGCAAAGAGGAGAGGGCAGACCAGGCAAAATTCTCATAAACATCCGGCACCTACCCCAGGCTTAGGTCTCAGGGCACAGCGGTGAAAACACCCTCCGGCACAGCTGCTTTAAGGCCGTGAGGAAGGGGTTCCTGCCAATCAGAACAGCAAGAGGAAGATTTTCTATATCATTCATTTTATTTCCAGGGGACATACTCTAGACACAACCCTAGAATCCCTCCTCTTGATTTTTCACCCTATGGTGACTTGTGACCCAGTGACCCTCCCACTTTCCCTTAAAATAATTCCACACCCCATCCTCATCTGGCCTTATAGTGGCACTGTCTTGTGTGCATGTTGTGTGTCCTGAGGACTTCCTGGATAGCCACTCAGGCAAGGACACACAATTGTGAATAATGGATGTGCCCCTGATTGGGTGGCTCATTCTGCATGGAAGGGTCCCCAGAGCCACCCAGAGCTGAGTGAGCTGTACAGCAGTGGTTTTCAACCTCCATACACAGTCGTTACACCAGTGGAGGTTTTTTTAAACACCAGTGCCTAGAATGCCCCCCAAATGAATTAAATCAGAACCCCTGGGGTAGGCCCTAAGCACTGGTGTTTTTTAGTTCCTAGGAAGATTCCAAGGTTGAGACCCATTGCAGAGGCACTCAGTCTCATTCTCTCTCTGGGCCTTAGTCTCCCCGCACTAGAATTTGAGAACAGTGTATTCTTTCTACAGGGGATGGGATGGGGCAAGCCTTGGAGAGCAAGCAAGGCCCCGTAAGCCTGACTTTAATAAAGCCTTGTGGAAATGAACCAGCCTTGCTGCAGTCTTGTGCTTCTGGACGTCTTAACTTGGTCTAGGTGCTGATGGGAAAGTGGCCCCTCTCCACTCACACCTGAAGGGACAGGAGGGGTGGCAGTGAGAACTGCATCTCCATCCCCAGGACTGTATCTTGTCCTTTTCTGAATACCACCTGGAGCTGTCTCCTCCCTAAAGATATTCATATGTCCTTTACAGAACAGAAGCTCAGTCCCCAGGGGAACATGGGGTGCAGCGGTCCACCCACGCCTCCTCACACTTATCTTCTCCCTCTAGTGCCAATTTCAGAGGATCCAAGGTTGATATTTGTTAAGGCAAATGGCAGCATCCTTACACATTTCCTCTCGATGTGGCTTCCTGCCATAGCTGGCTTTGGCCAGAGGTGTCCCTCCCCACTCCCACCCCAAGCCCTCCCCTGTACTTTTCAGTTCCTTCTCAAAATTGAGGTGACAGACAGCGGAGAGGAAATAAGCAGGAAACGACAGATAAAAGCATTAGACACAATAGCCTGCACAAAAGTAGAGGTAGTGATGACAGTAATGATCATTACTACTAGTGTCGTTGTTGCTGACATCATTATGCTAGAGTGTGGGCTGTGTTCTCAGCTCTGTGCTAAGCCTGCTCCCCTGTGTCCTCTCCCCCAATCCAGTGAGGCAGAAGTGTCACCATTTTACAGAGAAGGGAAGGAAAGCCACAGCATGCAGCAATGTTTTGCCTCACTTAAAAAAAAAAAAAAAGAATGATTACACGGTTCTCAGAAACACCTAGGAACTTGCTAGAAATGCAAATATCCCCTGTGGCCAGAGCGGGATTCATGGCGTGCAACCAGTGTAGCTACACACAGCCACGGGTTCAGAAGAGCCCGGCAGTTGAAGTTTAATTTTATCTTTGAGTGTTTCCTAAGTGAAGTCAGCTCGGACAATGGTTCAGGACCTTGGAGCCTCCCAGCGCTTCCCTGCCCGGGTTCTAGGCCCTCTGCCTCCACCCTCCCTGCCCCAGGACCCTGCCTCCCTCCACTCAGGGAAGGGGGGTGGGTAGCCAAGTGGCAGTGATGAGGGGAGGCTTGCATTTGCCATTGTCCTCTGCCCCAGGCTGGGCCCTGGTCACAGACACAGGGAGAGGAGGGGTGGGACACGCACCCCTCGCCCCCTCGGTGCTCAGGTCAGGGCAAGGTGGCGCTGTCCCCATCCCAGGTGGGCAGTACCACAGTGACTTTTCAGGGGCCTCTCGCCGGCCCTGATCCAGGTACTGAGTGTATCCTGGTGTGGAGGTTGCATTTCCTTGGGAATAGGCGAGGGTATCTGATAAGGGTGCACCGGGGCCGTGGGCCTGTGGGAAGGGCAGATGGACTCCCCCCCAGGACAGGGCCCTGCATTTTCTTTTTGCACTGGACGCAGTGAATTTTGCAGCTGTCTCTCTGCCTGGGTCCAGACCACCTGAAACAAAACTCTTATGGCCAGGCCCAGCAGTCTGGTTGAAGAAGCACCCCAGGTGATTCTGATGCACACTGAAGTTTGAGAACCACTGAGTCATAGGGAAGCTAAGGAGAAAGCGTGAAGGAGGAGGCGGTGGCATGGTGTGGGGAGCAGCGTTAGTGGGAGTCACGGATTGGGCAGGAACCCCACTCCTTTGCTGAGTGACCCTTAGCAAGTTACTTGCCCTTATTGGTACTGTTTCTCTGGAGAACCCTGGCTGATACAATCACCTATGTCTTACTGGAATCTTCAGGCAGGAGCTTCCTCGATGACTGTTCTGAGGTATTTGTTTTACTTCCTTTGGAAGAACCTCCATTTGAATGACCTCTCTCCTGCTGATTTCAATGGCTCAGTTCACTTCTCACTGGAACTCCCCCCAACACTTTCCTATGCTCCTCTGAATGCGACCTTGTAATCAGTGCTGTTGTGTCCTGTCCAGATGCTTTTGCCAGGCAGATGTGGGCATCCCACAGCTGCTGTGTCAGCTGCTACAGGCTTACAGCTGCCTCCTTCTCTGGAGAGTTTGCCCTTGACTCATGGGAGCCACCTTGCCCAGAAACGTTTGGGAGGTTATTCTATCCCCAGGGGCAGCCCACAGCCAATGGCTAGCTGACACAGTGTACAACAGCTTTTCCCCTTTGTGGTACTACATGTTGTTTTCTGACACCGCTTCTAACACAAAATGTATGGTTCTTCCTGACACCAACCAATTCTCCAACACCAACCGGGTATCCAACCACTCAGTTAAATTCTAACGCTATTTACTTGGAGTTAGCTGGCATTGGATCCCACAACTTAAAAGGCTCAGTCCCGCCAGACGGCCCCCCACTTCAGATGCCAGTCAGAAGTGGGATCCCCAGGAGACCCACACTTCTGCCCAACTGATTACAAATTCAGGGGTTCCTGTGATGCCCCCTCAAGTTTGATAATTCACTGGAATGACTCAGAGAACTCCGGAAAGTGCTCCACTTATGTTGTAATTTACTACAAAGAATACAGATGAACAGCCAGATGAAGAAGTACATAGAGCAAGTTCCAGAAGGGTCCCAAGCACAGGCGCTTCTGCACTATGCAGTTGGGGTGAGCCACCGCCCCAGCACATGGATGTGTTCACCAACACAGAAACTAGAATTACCATATGATCCAGCAATCCCACTCCTGGGTATATATCCAGACAAAACTATAACTTGAAAAGATACATGCACCCCAATGTTCACAGCAGCACTATTCACAATACCCAAGACATGGAAGCAAACTAAATGTCCATCGACAGATGAATGGATAAAGAAGATGTAATAATATATACAATGGAATACCACTCAGCCATAAAAAAGAACAAAATAATACCATTTGCAGCAACATGGATGGAACTAGAGATTATCATACTAAGTAAAGTAAGTCAGAAAGAGAAAGACAAATACCATATGGTATCACTTATATGTGGAATCTAAACTGTGACACAAATGAACTTATCTATGAAACAGAAACAGACTCACACAGAGAACAGACATGTGGTTGCCAAAGGAGAGGGGGTTGGGGGAGAGATGGAGTGGGAGTTTGGGGTCAGCAGATGTAAGCTTTTAATATATAGAATGGATAAACAACAAGGTCCTAACGTATAGCACAGGGAACTATAGTCAATATCCTGTCATAAACCATAATGGAAAAGAATATTTTAAAAAAAGAATGTATATATATATATATATGTATATCTATGTATATATATCTACGTATATAGATATATATTTCTGAATCACTTTGCTCTACAGCAGAAATTAACATTGTAAATCAACTATACTTCAATTAAAAAAAAAAGCAACTCTCTGAATCCCATTGTTTAGGGGTTTTATGGAGGTTTCATTATGCAGGCATGATTGATTAAGTCATTGGTCATTGGGGAACTGATCTCAATCTCCAGCCCCTCTGCCCTCCCCAGAAGTTGGGAAATGGGGCTGAGAGTTCCAACCCTCTAATCATATAGCTGGCTTTTCTTGTGACGAGCTCCCATCCTGAGACGATCTGGGGACTCACCTCATTAGCATACAGAAGATAACTTGTAAGGGTTTTAGGAGCTCTGTACTCCAAAATCAGGGACAAAGACCAGATATATATTTTTTATTATACCACAGGCACAAATCATCCTTTAGAGCTCCTCATGGGATCAGGCTCCAGCTACACCCACCTCTTTGCCTAGCTTCTCTCCTGCTCTGTCCTTCTCCGCTCACAGCCTCAAAGTTTTCACCCCAGATCCCTCCCTCAGTAAAGCCCACAAGCCCTGCTCTAGCTGTACTTCCAGGAATCCAACCTAAAACACACCCATAGCTTTCTACTCCCCACAGGTATCTGTGTGTCTTTTACATGACTTCTTTGACAGGGAGTTCCTTGAGATTTGATCCATGTGTAATTTACCTTTGTCTTTCTGTAACACCTACACAATACCTTGACAATAAATTGTCAATAAATTTTCTGGAATGAGTATTTCATATTTTGAAATCATTTGCATGGATAGGCAGGATTGTTAAACGACTGACTTATCCTTCAATTCCCATTCTGCACCCTACCCCCCAAAACGTGGTGCACAAATAGTTTAGTTCTCCCCTGTGAAGAAGAGGGCAAAGGATTTCAAGAAAAAGCTCAAGAACACGTCCCTGTGGAAATACCTCCAGGCCATTCCCGTCTGGTGCCGGAGATAGAGAAGGCTGTTCAGTGCCTCGAGTATTTTTGTTCTTTCCAACTTCTCTGCCCGATGAAGTTAAACAGTCCCTAAGAGTAAATAAATGTGGTAAAGATAAAACAAATATTTTTTCCCATTGGATTGGTTCATTCCTTGTGTGGGTTCAGATGAGGGAAAAACCAGAATGTTTTGATTAAATCGGCTGTTGCCACGAAATGATTTGCCTGTTTACTAATGGGGTGTCGTATTTCTTGTCATTATCTACGGAAGTGAGAATTCTTGGCATTGTGGAGAGGACTGCTCTGAATAAGAAAGTGGCAAGGTTCCTTAACCTAATGTTCTTACTATGTTACAAAGTGTAAAAACATTGAATCAAAAGCAACAGGGAAGTACAGCCCTGCATAATTGCAGAGTAGAGGAAAAAAGAGAAGTAGGTAGGCTCTCTCTTATCTAAGAGTCTTTCCTTACTGGTGTTTCTGATGACTAATTTTTTCACTTTCCTTTCACATGCATCTTACCTAGGTGCTACTATGATTTGATTTCCTGATAAGAAAGATGGTGTTGCTCCCTGTAACTCCCACAGTCTGGGAACCATGGTTCTCCTTAACCTAAAAGGTCTGGATGATCACATGAGATGCTACTGAATTCATGATGGGGGTTGTTTAGTTGTTAATCATCTAGAGTGACAGTGGTCCCATAATACTGATGACGATGATGATGACGACGACAGATGACCTTTACTGGATGTATCAGACATTGTTCTAGGACTCTACGTGTATTAATTGATTAATCCCCATCACAACTGTGAGTACCTTTAATATCCCCATTTTACACATGAAAAAACTAGGCCTCGTAGATGTTAAATAACTTGCCCCAGCATAGATGATGTAAGTGACAGAGCTGGCTTTGACCCCAGGGAGTTTGGCTCCAGATCCAGGGTTACTAACCTCTATACATACTGCCTAGTCATAACAGCAACCATTAACATTTACTGAGCCTTAACCACATGCTAGTCATGATAATTAATTTTATGTATTAACATGGTTAAATCTCATAAAAACTCCATCAGATACATATTTATCATCCTCTTTTACTAAGGCACATAGAGGTTAACTTGCCTACAGTAACTCAGCTGACGGGTGAAGGAACCAGGTTTCCAGGCTAGGTGGAGTGCCTTCAGAGCAACACTCTCAGGCTTTTCTGCTCTTGCTGGCAGGTGCCGTGAGCTTTGGTTTTCTGGAACATGTGCATGCTACTATTGACAACACTTTGTATAGTATATTCTGTCTCCCCTAGGAAAATATCCAGGGAGCCATAGAACAAGAGATCCCAGAGATCTAGTCTACAGCACCCATCTGTCTGGTCTGTTTGCTTGCCCAGTATTTCCCCCTTGTTTTAGTAGGAGTGCTCTAAAATTTTCCTGTTGGAGAATGTACTAGTTTTCTATCATTGCTGTAACAAACCACCATAGATTTAGTGGCTGAAAATAATACAAAATTATCATCTTATTTACTTACTTCTGGAGGTTGGAAATCAAAAATAGGTCTCGCTGAGCTAAAGTCAAGGTATCAGCGGGGCTGGGTCTTCCTGGAAGCCCTTGGGAAGAATCTGTTCCTCTGCGTTTTCCAGTTTCTAGAGACTGCCCACATACCATGGCTCATGGCCTCATTCCTCCATCTTCAAAGCCGGCAACATCAGGCCAAGTCCTTCTCATGCTACCATCTCTCTGGTTGTCCCTCTTCTGCCCCCTTCTTCCACTTTTAAGAATGCTGGTGATTATATTGGGTTTACCTGGATAATCTCACTAGTTTAAGGTCAGCTGATTGGCAACCTTAATTCCTCTTTGCCGTGTAACCTATTCACAGTTCCTTCCAGATTGGGATATAGACCTCTTTGGAGTGGGGTTGAGAGCATTACTCTACGTGGCACAGCGGAAACTCTCCTTTTCACTCCTGGGTCATATATTCTGGGTTTATCCAACCCAACAACCCTGGCTCACAGCACAGGCTTGGGACTTCTACTGGATTTCCTGGCAAACAGCCCCTACGCCCACATCCCGCTTTTTTTTTTTGCAGTACGCGGGCCTCTCACCGCTGTGGCCTCTCCCGTTGCGGAGCACAGGCTCCGGACGCGCAGGCTCAGTGGCCATGGCTTACGGGCCCAGCCGCTCCGCGGCACGTGGGATCCTCCCGGACCGGGGCATGAACCCGCGTCCCCTGCATCGGCAGGCGGACTCCCAACCACTGCGCCACCAGGGAAGCCCCATAATTACCATGTATTTTTATTCATTCAACATGTTTACTGGGTGCTGTTATAATTCTAAGTTTTAGAGAGAAAACCAAGAACTAACCAGCCCTGCTCTCATTAGGTTTACACTGTGCCATCCTTCCTGCTATCTGCCACTGGACAGATGACTTTCATGATAGCCATTAAAGGGAAATCCGATAGAGACATTCATAACAGAGTGTGTCATAGATCATGTATGCCGAAGGTCACAAGCAAGTCCCAGCACCCAGCAGGAACTCCTTCCATCCCAATCCTTTCCTCTCAAGAAGGCAAATCAGAACACAAGTGAGTAAGAGTGCCACTATTTGAGAGCTCATCTTAAAGCCACTCTGCTTTATCTTTATCTGTGAAAGATAATAAATCTTTCACAACTTTGCTACTCTGGATATTATCCTAGTCTCTGAAGTGACAAAAATATCCATTTTAGAAAGGTTTTCAACCATAAAGACTGAAGTGAAAGAGCAGGCGGAGTTTCTGGTTAACATTTCGCAGGGGCTCTGCAAATACTGTGAGAAATGCCACTTTGTGACAGCTTCAGCCAAACACCAGGCTCCTGCTTCAAGAGATCCGCTCACTACTATGTTGCTCAGAGGAGTGGAAAGATGTAGAATTGATGGTCTGCTCGAAAGATCAAAACAGGTGTATTTCATACTCAAGCAGCAGGGATCCTGCCCTGGGAAGGAACCAGTCAGTCCCTTTCCTCATTTCCTTGCTTTACAGAAATTCATGCCCTTAGGTCCGATACCACCACCCCCCACCCCAGACCAGACTTTCTGGTTCCAGCCATCCCAGCCGGACTCAACATGTTCACAACCCGCACAGATGCCTCCCTGATAACAGATGGCACCACCAGCTCTATCAAAGCTTGTTTCTCCTGCCTCCTAGGGCCTAGTTCTCAGACTTTAGCCTACATCAGAATCACCTGGGAGCTTGTTAAACACTGATTTCTGGGCTCTAGCCTATGGTTTTTGATTCAGTTAAGTCTTGGGTAGGTCCCTTGCTTTCCTGGTAAGTTACCGGGTGCCTGCTGCTGCAGGTTTGGGTACCAGCCTTCGACAACTACTGCTCTAGGGCATCGCCTTGGGCCCTGAAAGCCTGTCCTCAGTGCAAAAGGTCCTCATTCTCTTTGGCTTCTGACCACCCCCATCTCAGCTTTCCTCAATCCCATTCATTCTTCACCTCCCTTCGATAGTCCCCCTGCCTTACATGCCACTGAAAGCATTCTCCCTGAAGGTAAACACGGTGCGCCTGCTACCAAATCCAATAGACGGGCATCACCACTTGGGTGCCTCACCAGCCACGCCACAACTCAGCATGTCTGAACTGAACTCCCTGCACTCTTGGCCTGGTGTTTGAAGCTGCCCAGCTGCATGTGTTCCCTTCCTTCTGGTGACAGTATTGCCCTTACTTGCAGCAACTGCTTCTCCCTGCTCAGTGTTGTTAGGTGTGATCCAGTCCAACCCTCCTGACACCTTGATTTTGAACTTCTGGCCCCCAGAACTGTAAGAAAATAAATTTCTTGTTGTTTTAAGCCACCCGGTTTGTGGTAATTGGTTACAGCAGCCACAGGAAACAAACACATGCTAATTCCATTCCACCATTGGGGTGGGGGGTGGGGTGGGAGGGGCGGGGGCAGGGGACCCCTGCTTAGGAGATCTGACCTAAAATACAGAAAGGGGGAAATTTCAAACCTTCCTCAGGCAAGCTCTGATTGCTTGAAAAACGGTCCATCACCAAACCACCCGGTAAGAAGATAGTTATCATTTTGGCACAGATACTTAGCCAGTCAAGCACTCACAAAGTAGGACAATCTATCTCTTACACAAACCCTGTTTATTTAGTCTCCTGAAGTTGTAGGGCATTCTCTCTGTAGAGAGAGGAAAGACTCGTTGTATAATAAATTAAGAAAAAAAAAAAAAGTTTAGTTTCACTGAACAGTCCTTTCTTAGAAAGCTTACAATTAATTTCCTTTGTAATTTCCGGTGATAAGTGCTGATAGCAGATTTCCTTGCCAGCTTTTGTAATCCCAATGACATCACAGAACCTCCATCACTGTAAAAAATTGTTCTTTTAGGTGGCAGTGATGACATCAACCACTACCGGGGGGGAGAAAAAGAAACAACAGGAAATTCTACATTCAGCTGTAAACTGATAAATGAAGGAGGAACTGGTTGTTAAAGTAAGTTCCCTTAACTAAAGCCAGTAATTCTCAATTACTTGGCTTTATTTATTCGACCTATTTATTTCTATAATCTCACTTGAAGTACAAGTCCCTAGTCAAAAAGGCTCCTCACTCCCCAAAAAACCCAGGGATTATAGGTTAGAGCCCCTCACTTTGGGGGATTCCGAGGTCACGTTGCCTCATGTCAGGCATAAGCAGAGGGGCTGAAAAAGATCCAGACACAGGGCTAGGATATAATTTTTAGAATGAAGGAAGGAAGGAAGGAAGGAAAGGAGGGAGGGAGGGAGGGGAAAGAAAAGGAAAGAAGGAAAGAAAGAAAGAAGGAAAGAAAGAGGGAGAAAGAAAGGAAAGGTTAAAAGAAAAGAAATAAATACAGAAAGTCAATAAACATTTGAGCTGGGCAACCTAACAAACTGTATTAGTCAGGGTTCTCCAGAGAAGCAGAACCGACAGGATGTGTGTATATAGAGACTGAGTTTCATTTTATTACAGAACATCACGTAGAGTTTTATCTCATTTATATACAATTGAAGAAGTAAACTGCTATATTTCCTGGAAAGGATGTTTACCAGAATCTTAATTCTAGTTATCTACGAGTGGTGGAATTTCAGGTTAGTTTTGTAACATTTATTGGGGGCACACTATGTGTCAGGCATTCTTTCAAGTATTTTACATGGATTAAATTCATTCAATAATCTGTATGGTTTGCATTTTTAAGAAAACCAAAATCATGTATCATTTTCCCCAAAAAACTATGAAGCAGTTTTTTAAAATATCCCTTCTATTCTCATACATGGGCAGCCCTTGTTTCCCAAAGCTACACAACCTTGGGACTACTGAGAGTCTGAAACAGTTGTATGCAGATCCCACCCAGAGTTATTACTGGAAATCTTGCCGTTTCACAAAAAACTGATGCTCTCCCATTGCTGCTGGAGTGTTTTGTTTTATTTGATTGTTTTCATGGCTCCTCTCTTGTTTATTAAGAACTGGGTAAGTGAGTAATATGTTCCCTTTTAACCCCAGTCGTACTGTTAACCCTCTCCCACAGACACCCCTTCTAATGTATTTAGTTTGCATTCTTTTGTTTCTGTGTTCTTATAAAATATGTGCTGTTTGGTAAGCTCGTATTTTTAATTGACCTAAATGGTTTGACTTCACATCTCATTCAAGAATTCTCTCTGCCACACGCCCCCCACAACCACCCATCCAGTGCCTGCACCCACTTAATGCTCTCACTGTTTCTGCCGTTGCTGCCTCAGGGATTCCTAGAGTTGGAAGAGTGCTCTCCATCATCCCTCTGCCCACCGCTCACTCCCAATCCCCAGAACTTAAGGCTCATTAGACCACCCAAAAGTCAACCTTGTTTTTTTTCATTTGTGTAGCCCTCTTCCCTGAGAAACTTGCTCCAGGTTCTTCATTCGCCCTCCTGGAGGGAACTGCAAAGCTAGCAATGACTGCCAAGCCAAGTAGCAAAGTAAGGTCCCTGGACAAGGCACTATCTGCTACCTCTCTCACCTCCAAGTAACTCCTCTGCCCTTCTAGGTCACTTTCCCTTCTCCACTTATGGCTGCCTTTAACTTCAGTCTGATGTAATCTGCAGAAAAATGCTAAGGGTGGGGCATGGGTCAGAGGGGATTCATCTCAAAGTTAATGAAGTTTGAGTTTCAAAGCCCCCACCTTGTAAAGGCCCTAGGAAAAGTCCAACAATGCTCACAAGGGCATGTGTTTTTGTTAAATTTGCAAAATTAAGACATTGTAACCGCAGTCAGTTAAGACCTCCATCCTTGTTCTCTGACATTCCTCCCATCACAATTTCCCACGTGTCAGGGAGCTTTGGAGAGTCCTTGGACATGTTGGGATCTGGCTAAAGGAAAGTTGGCTTGCGGATACACATAGTGGGGCTTAGTAGATGTAAGCACTGTCATGTCTTCTTGTTATAGTATTTGCATCCTAAAATTGTATTCTTTTCTTAAAGAGGGTTTCCAAAATTATAATGCCTCCCTTCACCTCCCAAAGCTGGGTCTTCCCAGTCAGTGAAGCCCAGAGAAATTTGCTTCAGAATCCATGTATCCCTAGGGGTGACCTTGGACCTTGCTGGCTCTGTCCTGATCTTTGTTTTGAAACATTCCTGTTGTAGGTGGACCCCTAATTCCACTGAAGCGCAGCGCTTGGCTCAGAGTATAGCTTCCAATCTACACCTTTTTGTCAATTTTCTTTTTGTGCCTCTCCCCGCTGCCCCCCTACACACACACACACGCACACACACGCACGCGTGCGCGCACTCGTCTATATCTGGTGAAGTTGCATCTTCTATTTAAGTTTCAGAAGAATACTAAGTATTTAAGATTTAAGTATCTGGAGTGCAGATTGGCAATGAGCCAGTTGTTTTAGCTCAAATGTACAAGGCAAACACTTCCAAGAATGCCCACAGCTGCCAGTCTCAACTTTAGAGGGCAAGAGGAGGAAAAAGGCTTACATGGCAGATGTTCTGTCTGGGTGTCTCTCTGGAATTGAGGCTGTTTGATGAGGCAGAAATATTTCCAACTCTTCACCTAACAAAACAGTGAAGGAACAAAACTCTTTTAAATTAGAAAAATCTCTCAAACCAATATCTCAGCAAAATTTTTAGCACATACACCAAAAAAAGTGCTCAAGAACTATTAAGTTAACAAATTCTCCTTTTAGAGCAAAGCACCGCCCCCCCCAACCCTGGCCATCATTGCAAATGGACTCTGTTTCCATCTAAAATGTCCTGGGAGAGAGGTCTTTCCATTGGCCTACATTCAAGGTCAAGTTTTTTGTTGGTTTTTAGGGAGGAGAGGGGAGAATTGCTTTCATCTTCTTTCCCTCTGCAAAATGCCTTTCCAGAAGTGTTAACCCTAGCTATATTTTTTTTAAACGTTAACCTCCATTTCTCTGGCAGACTTTCAAATCACTTTTTCTGGTTATAAAAATAATCTATCCATCTATTACTTGAACAAATATTTACAGAGTACCTACAATATCTCAGGCCCTATTCTAGGTACTTCTTTCACTAGGAGAATTTTCCCTATCATATTAACTAGACTTTGCACACACTTTAATATCATAATATTTATGACAAGCAGACCCCAGAATTTATTTAGCCATTCTCTTTTTGTTAAACACTTAGACCATTTCCAATACCTCCCTATTGTAAATTATGCAGCAATGACCTTACTTGTAATAGTCTCTTGTCTATATCTATGATTAATTCTTCAGAACAGATATCTAGGAGTGGAATTACTAGATCAAAGGGTATGAACACTCTAAAGTTTCTTAATAAACATCCTGGCAGAGTTTCTGATGCATATTACCACCTTTGACTTCCTGAAATCTTCATCAAAGGGAGAATCACCCACCCCTATTTAAAGACAGGAGAGTATGTTCCATTCCTTCTGCGGAGATTTGCTGATTCCTAAAGGCAAAATACTTAGAGAAGAAAGAGTAGCCACACACTCATCTGCTCATTGTTATCACTCTCCACAAACAAGGACTCACCTCAGAAAGGAAATCGCTCATGACAAATATGGAATCATGCAAAGGTATGTAAGATTCGAGTAATCATCTCCATTCCTCTACGTATTGGGAGGGTTTGAGGAGGAGAGAGGATGTATAGTTAAGCATCTCCCTGATTAGCCTTGCTCACAATAACAGCACACGGAGTAAAGGAGCCTTCCCACCTCATCAGCACCTCTGCTCTGGCAAGTCAACTGGTAAAAATGCCTCACGGAGGCGCTTTTCAATATATAAGCAAATTTCATTGCATAGCATTTTATCCTCTCATTTTTATTCTGGAACCGCTTCATTCCCTGACTCTCTACTAAGAAGAATTTCTGCTTTCCAAGAAAACCAGTGCTGTCCTGAGAATGCTCCCAGTATTTTGTCCTCAAGAAGAAAAACTAGGGGAAACAAAGAAAACTAGGAGCAAGTCCCCGTCGATGTAGTTCAAGGTGGAATACTTGCTAACTGCATTGCCTTGTAGTCTCATTTGGATCAGAAGCTCCTTTAGCAGGGAGTTCATTTATATAATGGTCTGCTTAAGACAAAGATGATTAAGATTGAAATTCAAGCTCTTCTCTTTCCTGGAAGCCAGGCAGCCTAAACGTAACTGATTGCCTGGTCTTTTTTTTTTCTCCAGCTGAGTCCCAGCTATGGAGAAATCCATGAGGGGACAAAGAGTTTCTTCTCTGGATAAACAAAAGGGGTTTTACCAAAGTGGAGGACAGAATCTGTGGTGTGGTAAGGGACAGCACCATCATTCATTCATCCAACAGTGACTTATTGAATGCCTAGTACGTGCCAGAAACTAGACCAGGCACTGTGTGAGTGAAACAGACAGATAGCCTGCTCTCATGGAGCCTGAGCTGAGTGAGAAGCAAACACTAAACAAATACAGTTGACCCTTGAACAACATGGGCTTGAACTACGCAGGTCCACTTATATGCAGATTTTTTTTTTTTAGTTTTTTTCAAATACTACAGTACTACATCACCAGGGCTGGTTGAATCTGTGGATGCTAAACTGTGCGTAGGGAGGGCCGACTATAAGTTATATGTGGATTTTCCACTGTGCAGAGGGTCAGCACCCCTAACCCCCGAGTTGTTCGAGGGTCAGCTGTACTCATGCCCATGAATATAAAACCACAGTCTTGGTGTGTGCAGGGCATCAAGAACACAGAGGTGTGGATGCCTGTGATAAAGGATTTACCTTAATGGGGAAGGTGGGCAGCTGTTGCTGGAGTTTAGATCTGAAGGATAAACTGGAAAAGAGGCAAGAAAGGCCTCTTTTCCAGAGGGAAGATGGGCAGAGGGAAGAGCATGAACAGAGGGGCTGCAGTCAGAGAGTGAAGAGAAGGGGGGAGTTTGTGGGATGACCCCATGATCAAGGTCATGCAGGGTTTTGGTCTTCATCCTAAATGGGTCTTTAGGCTGTTAAAACCCCTATTACTTAACAATTCCACTCTTAGGTATTTACCCAAGAGAAATGAAAACTTATATCCCCAAAAGACTTAACATGAATATTCACAGCTGCCTTAAAATAGCCTAAAACTGGAAACAATCCAAATGTCCATCAACAAGAGAATGGATAAATAAATTGCAGTATATTCATACTCAACTGAAAGGAATGAACACACAACAACACAGAATGCTGTCCAGAAGACTATTTTGAGTAAAAATAGCCAGGCACAAAAAAAGTCCATACTGTGTATTTATATTTGTATGGATCCGAAAATGGGCTGGGCAGGGAGTGAAATCACTGGAAAAGGGGAGCAAGAGAACTTTCTGAGGTGATAAAAATGTTCTATATTTTGTTTGGGATGGTGATTTCACAAGCATATCCAATTATCAAAACTCCTGAAACTGTATTGAAGATCTGTGCATTGTATTATTTGTATAATATATATCAAAGTTTTTTTTTTAAAGTACAATACACATTAAACTGTTTAACCACAGGAATGACATCAGATTTGCAATGTGAAAAAAGCCCCCTGGCTGTGGTCTGGAGAAAGATAAGAAGGGGCCTGAATGGAAGTGGGTAGATCATTTCCTCTGCTTTATTCAAATTACCTAGAAGCTGGAATACCCCCGAGCATCAATGCATATCATCAATGCATATTCCGTCCTTAACAGAGGAGAATTCAGACTTCTCCTTGCTCACCTCCTCTACGAGTTGTGCAAAACAGTTGTCAATGAACCACAAAGGGAATTTAGCTGGAGAAAAAGGTTGGGAAGATGAGGTAAGAGATTGAAGAAACCACAAAGGCAGTAGACTGAATCAATTCTATTACACCGAATCTTTCAAGGCAGGATTAAAGTAATCCTGTTTGTTTTTAGTATTTCAAATTCTTGGGTTCTATTCCCTCATCTACAATTTTCTTCTGAAATTAAGAATCTAATGGGCTACAACTTGCTGATGCAACAGGAAGCAAAAGTTATCTTTTACCTATAGTTGGAATGAACAGAATTAAAATGAGATAAGACTGGGTCAGCTTATGTCTCAGAAAGAACACAGGCAATATTATAGCAATCAAAGAGGGTTTGGGGACAGGCGGGTTGGGTTGTAGGATCCTAAAGGGCTTATCCCAGGCACCACCACAAAGTCAGAAAGGCACCTGGCTTGCTGAAGGTTTAAAAGAACCACAGAAGCTAAGCATTTTAGAGCTGGAAAGGATTCTTAGAGGGCATTTCAGCCTATACATTTCACCCATGAAAGCAGGAGTAAAGGGACTAAATTACCCAGGAATATTCATAACTAACATTTGACTAGCACTTTACTAAGTACTTCCACATTTATTGCCTAATTAAATCCCCATAAAGTGTTGACAAATAGTAATTGTTAATTCTTTTCAGAAGTTGGGGCTCAGAGAGTGAAGCAGAGAAAGTGAATTCTTACTGACGTATGAGTTTCTCTTCTTCTTCTAGGGTGCGTCACTAGATCACTGTTCCTAGCTCTCTTGCAGTTGGAGGGATAGAGCAGCAGAGAATTAAGTTTCTGCCCAATGAAATGTGGCAGAAGCCCCCTCCTTTAGGGCTGACCCACCATACAATCCTCTCTTCACATTTTCTCTTCTCCTTTGCCTGGCATCCAGATGCATGGGATCCAGTAGAGGAAGTTCGCAGCTTCAAGGGATGGTGAAGCCACCCACTGGAAGGAGCCTGGGTCTCTGAATGACTCTGTGGAGCAGAGATGTTTTTCCCATTCATGGACCCAAGTGAGAGTATAGCAGTAATGAGAAATAAGCCCTTCCTCTGGCCAGGCACTGATGTTTTGACGTTGTTGCACCAGTTAGCCTAAATAACATAAGAAAAACTAAGGGACTCATGCAAAATCCATATATTAATTTATTTAACAAAATAATGTAAGGGCACCTACCAGGCACTGGTGGAGGACCACACACACCTAAGGGGATGGGAGGAACCCCCAGCAACTGGGTAGGATGTGGGGTGTGGGGGGAGTGAAGGGGGAGGAGAAGTGGAGATGGGACAGGACTGGCACCCCTGAGGGGCAGCTGGGGGAGGGGAAGGTATCCCACACCCAAAGGGGGAAACTGCAGAACCATTGGGAGGGCAGAGGATCAAAAGGGAGCGTGGCCAGGTTTCCCCTGCCCACTCGGGTCTCTAGGAACCTGCTGAGATCTCGGGCCTGATCCTCTGCCCACCTAGGCCCCCTCCAGGCTGCGCGGGTCCTGCCTGAGGGTCAGGGAGGAAGGGAAGGGGGAGCAAAAGTAAAGGCCGGACCTCAGGGATTGGCACTCCTTAAGGGTGGCTGGGGGACGGGAGGAGTTCCTACACCCAGTGGGACCCACCCATGGTTAGGGGTCCAGTGGCGACAGAGACCCTGGGGGAGACGGTGGGGGAGGGGCACGAAGGAACGTAAGGGAACAGGGCCAGTGCTTTCCCTGTCCACTTAGGCACCGGGGAGCCTGTTGGACTCCTGGGCCTAATGCTCTGCCCTTGGAGCCTCCCTCCTGCTGCACAGAACCTGAGCCCCGCCCCTACAGCCCCACGCAGGGCCCCACCTCTACACTCGG